AGCATCTCGGATGATCTGTTCTGCATAGAGAATGAAAAGGTATGGAGACAGAACACATCCTTGACGGATGCCCTTCTTGATTTTAAACCATATAGTGTCTCCTTGCTCTGTTCTGACAACTGCCTCTTTGTCCAAGTATAGGTTTCACATTAGCACAATCAAGTGTTCTGGGATTCCCATTCTTCTCAGCTTGTTGTGATCCACACAGTCAAAAGCCTGTGCATAGTCAATGAAGCACAGATACACATTCTTCTGGTATTCTTTGCTTTCTGTCAAAATCCATTTAACATTAGCTATAATATCCCTAGTACCACGATCTCTTCTAAATCCAGTCTGCACACCTGGCAGTTCTCTGCTGACATATTGTTCCAAATGTTTTTGGATAATTTTCAGCAGAATCTTACTTGCATGTGATATTAATTATATTCTTCGATAATTTCCACACTCTGTTGGATCATCTTTCTTTGGAATGGGAACAAATATCTTTTAAAGTCAGTCGGCCAGCTGACTGTCCTCCAAATTTCCTGGCACAACTTAGTGAGCACATCCAGGGCAGTGTCTGTTTGTTGAAATATGTCAACTGCTATGTCATCAACTCCTGGAGCCTTGTTTTTTGCCAATTCCTTCAGAGCAATCTGAACTTCCTCCTTCATCACCATACGCTCTTGCTCATATGTCATTTCATGAAATTCTTCTGTGTCAGCCAATTCCTTCTCATACAGTGACTCTGTGTACTCCCTCCATCTTCTCTTGATACTTCCTGGATCATCTAAAATTCTACCCAAAGTATCCTTAAGTATTGCCACCCGTAGCTTGAATTTGTTTTTCAGCTCCTTCAGGTTAAGAAATGCTGAATGAGTTCGGCCCTTTTGATTTTCTGACTTCAGCTCTCTGCACCTTTCATTATAGTATCTTATTTTGTCGTCCCGGGCTGCCTTTTGAAATTTTCTGTTCAGCTCTTTGATTTCTTGGTTTCTCCCTTTAGCTTTGGCTTCTCGGTGCTCTAATGCAATACTCAGACTCTCATCTGACATATATCTTGGTCTTTTCTTCTTCTTCAGCCTTTGTAATGATCTTTTGCATTCTTCCTGGACGATTTTCTTAACATCCTCCCAGAGTTCATTTGATGGTTTTGAAATTCAAGTGGGACAGACTTAAGGTCAAATTTTGGTTCCAGTGGACTTGATTTAATTTTCTTCAACTTCAGCTTGAACTTGCATATGAGTAGTTGGTGGTCTGTCCCACATGCGGCACCCGGCCTAGTTTTCACTTTATGGAGTACAATTAAAAACTCCCAGCTAAGTAAATATCCACAATGTGATGACATTTTCCCACTTCATTTCCAGTAATCCTCCCATACTTCTCTGGATTTACTCCGTTTTTAATGACAGACACTCCGCTGATCATCCCCTTACTGAATACTGCCTTTTCTGTTGCTCATCTTAATATGTGCCTATTAAATATTTAGGGAGTTCTGGTGGTATAGGCAGTAGGGAGTTACACTGCTCATCCAAGGGTGGCGTTTCTCTGCCAGGTTCACATGCAGTCTCTTCCCATGCAATTATAGGATCTAAAAATACACTGTGATCGCTGTGAAAATCAGCTAGAATTCGGTTCCAATTCCACGGCAACATGAACTATTGATTTACTATTTTTTACCTCCCTTCTCCTTCTCTTTCCATCCCTAGTAACCACACAAAAATGAGTCTGTATGTAAACCTTTTCTTAACTTTTGGTTCTTGTTCTTTTGTGACTGACTTATTTCTAATAGCATAGTGTCCTTTGGATGCACCCATATTATACAAGCCCTGGCTTGTGAAGTCTTTGCTGCTCTTTGGTACTGCAGAGTACTCTCCATTATGTGAAAGTACTACAGTTTCTTTGTCCAGTCATCCACCGATGGACACTTGGGCTTGTGTCCATCTCTTCCCTACTGTAAACATGCTGCAGTGAATATGAATGGGTACATACCACAGCTCCTATTTCTTTCGGATCTATACCTAGTAATGAGGTTGCTGGTTCCAAGAATATTTCTATTCTCAACTTTCTAATAAAGTGCCACCAAACTGCTTTCCATTGCAAGCAAGCAAGCAAGAAAGCAAGCACCATCAAGTCAGAACTGACTGACTCAAGGCTGATTCTCCAGGGCATTTTCAGAGACTGCAAACTGTATGGGAAGACAATGCCCTTTTCCCTCTTGGAGCAGCTGGTGGATCCAAATCATCTCCCTTTGAGTTGGCAACTCATTACTAACCCCCTCTCACTACAGCTCCCCTCTTTTCACAGAAGCTGTTATCATCTTACATTTCTACCAGCAGTTGACAAAAGTTCCAATTTCACCCTCACCAGCATTCACTGTTCCCTGTCCTCTTGAACTTTACTATAACGTGTATGGTGAGGTGAAGTTTCACTACCACACTTCTAAGGAGCCCTCTGGCTATATGTCCTCTAGACAGATTTGTTCTTTTGGGAGTCCGTGGTATATTCAATACTTTTCACCGACACCACAATGCAATGGCATCATTTTCTCTTCCTTATTATTGTTCAATTTTCAAGAGCATAAACTATTGCGTCTAAATTTACCAGCATTCCCTGAGCATATGATGATTCTAGGGTAGGCGATTTAGGAATATTGTGTTTCATGTGTACTGATATAGTGTTCACAGGTATATAGGGTTCCTACTGGTCAAACTTGTGAGAGAAAGATGGGCAATCTCCTCCCATATGATTAGCTGCCTCTGACAAATCTACTGAAGGGTCAATTATGAGTCAGTTCCTACTCGACAGCACACAGTAACAACAACTGGTCAAACCAGAACAATCTAAAGAGCAGAATATAAAAGTGCCCATGGGATAAAAACTCAACAAAAATCCATGTGACACAGATATAAGTAGGTGACTAAATGGGAATTTTTTCCTTTTTTCTTTATTGTTGTTTTGTGCCATCATGTTGGCTAGGACTCATAATGACCCATGAACAACAGCTCTGAACAGAACTCAATATATATAGGTGAAATGATGGCACTACCACTTGACAATTATCACAATAATATATATTTCAGGAAAGAATCCTCAATAGTGCTCTAGCATGTTTTTGGTGTTAGGTGTCATCAGCTGAATATGAGTATGTTCATAGTGACCCTATGAACAATAAATCGGAACCCTATCCTATTCTGGGCCATCCTTATCATTTACGTTATATTCAAGCCCATTGCAGCAGTTGCTGTGTCAGTCCATCTGGTTGAGGTTCTTCCTCTCTTTTGCTGACTATCCTCCTTTCCAAGCATGATGTCCCTCTCCATAGCACAGAGAGAAACAATTATTTACTTAGTCTTGACTGGACATATCCACGAAGTATTTTCTCAAGAACAAAAGTAAAACTTATAACTATAATGGAAAAACATAGCAGATATAACTATAATCAAGTGATCAAGGTTAATATCACCAAAAATAGCAAAGACCTATGCATCCTGAAGTGATAGAGAAGACTATATATTATTTTTACTATCATTTCTATCAATATTATATAGGCTGAATCTAATTATGAGGAAGTATCAAATAATCTCAAATCTCAAAAGTAACTGGCTGTACTCTTTAAAAGTACAGAAAAAGAAGGAATTATTCCATAATAAAGGAAAATAAATAAACTTGACAATGAAATAAAATATATGACTCTGGATAGATCCTAGATTGACAAAAGCTTGTGTTTTTGTTTTGCTATTCAAGACATTAATGTCATGACTAAAAAAAAAAAATGTAGAAAGTCTAGAGCTTAACTAATAATAACTATTATTTATATATATGCCAATTTGCTGATTTTGATTAATGTACTATGGTTATAGATGAGAACGATTTCAATTTATTCTGAGGTTTCTGGGGGTAAAGTGACAATTAGCTTGGAACATACTGTCAAATGGTTTTAAAAAACCATCAATATGCATGGATGAAAGAGACATAGACAATATAAATTAAATGAGTTAAAAGTGAAAATTTGGACTTCTAGGTGAAGTATACAGGAATTTACATATAATTCTTAAAACTAGATTTGTTTAGAAAAATATGTTAATGATTTCTGGTTGCTATACTACCCTGGGTAACATGACATAGTTAGGTCCAATTGTGCAGTAAATAAGAAATGAAAGAGTGGGAATAATACTGAAAAAAAAATCAGTTAAGTAAAACAATGCAACAGAAATAAGTCTCAGCAACATAATGTTGAAAAGAAGAGAAATTCAGGAGTACTACTAAATGGATTCTATTTATATACAAAGCACAAGAGCATGTGTACATTCAATGCTTAACACTCACTCGCTCACTGCTGTTAATCGGAACTAACTCACTGCTGAACCACCAGTGGGTTTTCTGAGGCTGTAAATTGCATGAGAGGATATTATCCACCTTTCCTCCATGGAGCCATTAGTGGATTCAAACTGCCAGAGAGCCGTTTGGTTCACAGTGCAAATCCCTAGTGACATACCATCAGAGCTCCTTTACACAAAGTTAGGTGTGACTCATAGCAACCCTATGAACAACAGATCTGAACACTGTCCTATCCTGACACATCCTCACAATCTCTGAGATGCTTCAAGTCTGTAAGGAATACTCCTTTACTTAAAAGCAGTACAACAGAACATTACAAAATAACAGAAACATTTACATGATGACAAAGGTGGTATATGGTGTATTATAACACACTGACTACTATATTGCAGATCTGAACATCAGCGTATGTAACTCAGGCCACCAGTTTACTTATAACTAATCAAAATTACAGGTAAAATAGGATAAGTTAGTCTGACTCTTGCCAAAAATAGCAACAGACCAAACTGAAAAGCAAAATATAGGCCAAAGTGGGGCATAGGGGGGACTGAACCAAAATTAGCCATGTAATAGAGATATTCAAATAAGAAGCATAAGGCATTCACACCAAAATTTGACTGTCCTTGTTTTGTTTGTTTGTGGTTCTTTTTGGCTATACTTTTAAAACATTGTATGCATACCTTAAATTTCTCTAGATTTCGAATTTCCCCTAATAGATGCTTTATTTCGCCATTCTTCTGCTCCAACATGGCAAACAACCGTTGCTGCTGCTCAAATTCAGTTTGAGATCCTTTCATCTGTAGCAATGTGGCAATTTGTAACTAGAAAAAGGGGGGGGGGGGAAGTGTATACGAATTGAAATCATTTGCTCTGCAAATCTTTACTCAAATTACAACTTAAAAAAACAACCCCACACCTTAATCCTCAAAAAAAAAAAAAAAAAAAAGAAAATCAGTGTGATTTTTAAATGAAAGATCATACAGATACTAAAAAGCATATTCTGAGCTCACTCTGGAAAAACCTTTCTTTTTTAAAGTTTAATAATTTTAAAACTTTAATACCAACAACTTTTGTCAAAGGTTCCTAAGATTGAAGATTTGACTACCTGTAAGAGATGGCTGAAACATAGAACTTAATTATCTGTTATTGTTAGGTGCTGTTGAGTTAGAACAACTCATAGCGACCCTAAGAACAAAAGATCTGGACCCAGTCCTGTCCTGAGCCATCCTCACACTCCTTGACACAAAAGAGTCCATTGCAGCCATCACCATGTCAATCCACCTAGTTGAGGGTTTCTCTCCTTTGCCGACTGTGGTTTGAAGAGGTCATTTAGTTACCAAGTAAACCTGGCTCAATGTTCTCTACTCCTCATCTCTACTCTCATTAAGGTTCTGATGGGTTTCTCAAAAATTTCAATTCATGTCAATATTATTAAATAGAGGAAATTTTTAATCTACACTATATACCAACATCTGATTCACAAATGAAAAAAAATGCAAAGAAAATAAAAGGTAATCTAAGGATATACCATGTTTTTATTTTTTAAAGCATCAACTAACACAATGCAAATTCTTTCTAAATCTAGAGTTGCACAGCAATTGGAAGAAAGTTATCAAATTGATTGCCACAGATTCTATTCCAACTCCTCGTGATGTGGTAGGATAGAGAAGAATTGCTTTACTGTGTTTCCAAGGCTGTAATCTTTATGGAAGTAAAGTGTTCTATCTTTTTTCCCTCAAAGTAGTTGGTGAGTTTGAATTGCCAATCTTTCAGGTTAATAGCCAAGCACTTAACCACTACACCAGCAGGGTTCCTTGAAGGAAGGTAACCGGAATCTAAATTTAGTATCCTTTATGTCTTCAGAAATTTTGGAAGTCCTACCTTGTTTACCAAAATCAGAGAGGATTTGAAACTCTTGCTGCAGAAGATTAAAAACTACAGCTTTCAATATGGATTACATCTCAACACTAAGAATATTAAGAAAAGGGGATAAATAATGTGCATAGCATTGAAAGAGATAAAACTGTATAAAAGGAATATATGATTAGGTATTTTTGAAATGACAAGAGTCCAGAATAAAAGTTGCATAGTAAAGTGGGCAGGGGGGCAGCGGAACACAACTGTATAACACTGAAGGAACTTTTTCCCAAAGAAAAAAATTAACTTGGAGGGTGGGAGGAAGGCAAGGAGGCAAATGCGCAATAATGAATGAATGGAAATCCAAGTTCTTCACAAACTTTCATTAAAATCTCAGTAAAAAAAAATTTAGAAAAAGAATAAAAAAAAATAATACAAACACCTTCACTATCAATCCAATGAATAGCATCATGAGATGAAGAACAGATGGAAGTTGACAATGATTTCATCTTGGTTGGATCCATAATCAGTAATACCCTCAGTACCACCAGTCAAGAAATCAAAAGAACTATTGCATTGGGAAAATCTGCTATCAGTGACCTTACCAGAGTATTAAAGAGTAATGATGTCAGCTTAAAGACTAAGGTGAACCTGATTCAAGCTTTGATCTTTTCAACTGCTTGTTATGCACCTGGAAGCTAAAAATGGCTAAAGACAACAGAAGAACTGATGCCTTAGAGTTGTGGTGTTAGAGAAGTGTAATGAATATCCCATGGACTGCCAAGAGAAAGTGAAATAAGAGTGATCGAAGGAAACAAGGATGGTAAAACGTCACCTCATCTACACTGGAGGAGTCGTCCTTGGAGAAAGACATATTGCTTTGAAAGGTAGAGGGTCAGTGTAAGAGAAGACGACTTTGACAAAATGGATTGATACAGCAACTGTAGCAATGGGCTCAAGTGTGTCAGAGATGGTGAAAATGGATAGGATATGGTTCAGATCTGTCACTCATAGGGTCACTGTAAGTTGCAGTCGACTTGCTAACAATACCAGTTAATAATAACCAATTAATTAGTTTAATCAGTACTGCTCTGAGTAAAACAAGCAAGAATGTAATGATGGAGGTATGCTAAATAGGAAGAGAAGTTGTCATGCACCAGCAAGTAGGAAGTGATTCATAACTAACCCTCCAGCAGGTTTTTAGAGGCAGTAACCACACAGCAGGACACTGTCAGTCTCCACCCATGGAGCCGATGGTGGGTTCAAACTGAGTGCATTTGGGTTGGCAGTGCAACTCCTTATCCACTAGGCCACCAGAGCTCCCTAAAGGGGAATGGAGAAAGGGAATTTCTTTTTTTTTTTTTTAAATACCAACCCATTTTGAAGTCTATCCTGCCTCAGATTGCTGGCTAGATACATTTTGCCCAAGATGATTCAGAATGTTATCAGTCTCTAAAGATAGTTTGGAATATCCTGGGAGTCATGTGTGTAAGCATGTGTCTCTTAGTGGTTATTAAGTAAATTTTTATTCCAAGATTTAACTTTTAAAAATAAAACACAAGTGCTTGCTTCGGCAGCACATGTACTAAAATTGGAACGATACAGAGAAGATTAGCATGGCCCCTGCGCAAGGAT